GAATAATAAAATTAAAAACTTTTTTGCAAAATACAAAATATTTAAATACATTTAAAATATATGATGACTCATGGCAATACTGAACAAATAACTGGTTTTGTGGATTCGATAGTACCTAAGCACTTGTCTTCAAAGTCTTTTGTTTTTTGTTTATAGTATTATACCTTTTTAAAACTTTTTTTCTTGTTGATTCATCTCCTTGTCTGGTATCATACTTTCCTTTTTTCACTAAAATTTCTTCATTCATTAAAAAAGGTATCATTTTCTTTTTTATTACTTTTTTTTATTAAGGTATCATTGATATACACTCTTATGAAGGTTTCAAATGAAAAACATTGTGGTTACTACATTCACCCATATTATCAAGTCTCCCCCCACACCCCATTGCAGTCACTGTCCATCAGCATAGTACGATGCTACAGAGTCACTACTTGTCTTCTCTGTGCTATACTGCCTTCCTCATGACCCCCCTACATTATGTGTGTCAATCATAATGCCCCTTGAGCTCCTTCTCCCTCCCTCCCCACCCCTTTCCCTTTAGTAACTGCTAGTCCCTCCTTGGAGTCTGTGAGTCTGATGCTGTTTTGTTCCTTCAGTTTTGCTTCATTGTTAAACTTCACAAATGAGGAAAATCATTTGGTACTTGTCTTTCTCTGCCTGGCTTATTTCACTGAGCAAAATACCCTCTAGCTTCATCCATGTTGTTGCAAATGGTAGGATTTGTTTTCTTCTTATGGCTGAATAATATTCCATTGTGTATATGTACCACGTCTTCTTTATCCATTCATCTACTGATGGACACTTAAGTTGCTTCCAATTCTTGGCTATTGTAAATTGTGCTGCAATAAACATAGGGGTGCATCTGTCTTTTTCAAACTGGGCTGCTGCATTCTTAGGGTAAATTCCTAGGAGTGGAATTCCTGGGTCAAATGGTATTTCTATTTTGAGCATTCTGAGGAACCTCCATACTGCTTTCCACAATTATTGAACTAATTTACATTCCCACCAGCAATGTAGGAGGGTTCCCCTTTCTCCACAACCTCGCTAACATTTGTTGTTGTTTGTCTTTTCGATGATAGTGATCCTTACTGGTGTGAGGTGATATCTCATTGTGGTTTTAATTTGCATTTATCTGATTATTAGCGATGTGGAGCATCTTTTCATGTGCCTGTTGACCATCTGAATTTCTTAAAAGAGGTACCATTTTCTAAATACTGGGATGCATATTTGTCATTGAGCTTTGTAGGCATTGTGAAAACCTTCTAGCTGTTGTTTGTTCTTGGCATATTATCACATGTCTGTTGATAGACAGTCCAGAGTTCTATGGGAAATGTGTATCCAGAACTCTTCTCCACGGTGCAGACCCTGATGAGGGCTAAGCTTTATATAATATGAGCATGGGAGCCTTGAGTCAATGGAGGAATGAAACCCAGCTACCAGCCAGTTGATGTCACCAACAAACTGTCAAACCAAACTGTCAACTGGTTATTTTTAATCTTTTATGGCAAAATTACCTTACGGTCAATTAGTTATGATGCAAAAATGTTTGCTGCGAACTGCTTGCGACAAAGATGCTTAAGGCAAAACTACCTAGAACCATTGAAATGATTCTGTTTTCTGTTAACTAATTCAGCACTAAACTTAAGTTTCTAACATTGCCAATTATAAATGCCTGTTTCATTAAGCATTCACTTACATAGACAACTGAAAAGCTACTACTACTAGTTCACCAAATGTGGAATGTCAGCTTGCAAATGGGAAATGATTTTCATTAAATTGAGCATTAATTTTCAATTTGAAATTCATAGTAGCTGTTCAACAACAACCTCCCCCCATCACCACTCCTTCCCCCAGCCCTCAGCGCCCCCTCAACTTCAGCAGGCCTTCTCCCTTGGGCACTATTACTCTAGGTCCCAGAGAGGTGGGTAAGGTGCCTCCTCGGGTGGATTTACCGTAAAGCTGATAAAGCTTAAGTTTCAGGGCCTCTCCCAAGATCTTATACCTAATTATGTTTTTGCAATTTTTTTTTTAAGAAGCTTCTCCAAGTTTTGTAAACTTTATGAAATCTGCATGTGCCTCTGGATATGTATGTTTTTTTCTACCTGAAACAATGTCTTAATTGTTGTGCTGCTAGAAAAGCAGCCCAGGGTGTATTGTTCAGTATGCTGAGTTATTTGTGACTGGCTTTCTTCCTTGCAGACTTTCTGACCTGGGGTACCAAGCTACCACACTTCTCAGAATTCCAGAAAAACATGCACCCTAGGTGTTTCTAGCCAGGCCCCGTATGAACCCTTGGCTTCCCCACTGAGCTCTGTCGGCACACAGCCCTTGTTTGGCTCTAGAAACTTACAGAACCATGCAGGCCAAATTTTGGAAATTTGGTTCCTACTTGTTCATGCAAAATACGTATGTCCTTTTGTACTCTGCACAGAGCCATAAATAGAATTTTGTACTCTCACTGTCGGAGCAAAGAATGCAGTTGCCATACTCAATACCTAATCTTTGAAAAATTTCGTGAGCATCACTGAGGCAGCTTCCTAAGTATTTGGGTATCTTGTCAGAAGTAAAAATAAGCCTGTGGCTCTGTATCAAACTGTATGATTTCATTAAACAAAAATGAAATTTTATAAAAATTAAATCCTGTCCTGCTATACAGCATTAATGACAAAGTAACTATTCATCTGTATAAACCTTGTCTTGTATTATTCTTATTTTCTCTGTGCAGTTATAATAATAACTCAGACAATTTCATATTTTTCTATGAAGGGCTATCTGACAAGGTATCAGCATGGTCTCCTTTAAAAGCCTCTTTTTCCTTCTCAAAAAAATGAAAGTGCCCAGGTTTCCTCTCCCTCATTCCCTTCTTTCCTTTCTCTTCCCTTCCCAAACATTCCATCCCGGGTATGCATCCACAGGGGGTGTTCAAGCATGGAGTGTCAGAAGCCCATCACTGTGAGGAAGTCACTCGTATGAGGGGTGCAGCCTGGCTCTGAGTGTGTTTAAGAGGCCGTCTGTACAAGGGAAGGGATGACAGCATCAGGAGATAGGTACAGGCAAATAGGGCAGGTGATCAAATAGGTAAATATATTAAGAATGATGAGAAAGAGATTTCTTAACAACAGAGAAGGGAGTTACAAAAATGGAAAGGGGAAAAATTAGAATTAACCATTGGTGTTGGATTGGAATTGGAAGTACTGGTGTAAAGTAATGATTTTCATTATATAGAGATAGATACAGAAATATAGATAAAAATGTATGTGTGTGAATGCAAAGGTGGACAGACATTTATTCTCTTGCTCGAGAGGGCTACAGAGCAGGACCACGCCAGGAGCAATGAGCCAATGTAGCCCCAGATCTTGGTTTCTAAATGCCACAGGACATAGCCAAAGTCACAGAAACCATCTTGAACAGGCTCCCAGCAATCAAGCTCAGAACAATTTGAGCATTATTATTATTACATAACCCTTAGCGAAGTATACCATATAGATACTTAACTAATTACAAAGGAAAGTAGACTAACTTTATGGTGGAGAATTTGGGTAACCACTACCCTAATCAAATGACCCAATGAGCATGCTAAGTAATGGGACACACTAAATGCTTGTGACTCCCAGCAGAATGCTTTGATAAGAACCCAGCATCACTTCTGTGATTTCTTTCAAAGTTTATAATCTGAATCATAACACCAGACAAACCCAAATTGAGGCACACTCTAGAAGAAAAACTGACTGGTAATCTTCGAAAGTGGCAGAGTCAGGAAAGCCAAAGTCCAATGAGAGACCGTTTGCTGTGAAAGCAGACTCGGTGATGTCAGCTGAATCCTTCTGCCACAGGAAATTATTGGAATAATTGACAAATCTTGAATGGGATCAAAGGATGGTAGTAACGTATCGGTGTTACTTTCCTGATTTGATAGTTGTAGTGTGTTTATGTAGGAAAACATTAAGTATTTGTAGAAAATACACATTGATGTATTCAGAGGATGATGGGAGATCAGGTTGGCAAATTTCAAATGGCTCAGGGGAAAAAAACTGTCATAGTGTACTTGCAACTCTTCTGTAACTCTGAGTTTCAAAACATAATTTAAAAATTGCTACTGTTGTATTTAATTGTCACATTTCCAGAGGACATGTGGATTTCAGGCATGAACTAATAGAGGTGGGTATATGTAGATTTTGAGGTTTGTCATGAGAGTGGCAGTGGGGTGGTGGTGTTCATCATCCCGTTGTCTTTCAATGGCTTGAAAATGTGTTTATTTGCAACTGCTAAGATCTGATTCACTTTCTGGATCTTATACAGCTTGTCATTTAAATATTAAAATCTCCTCTTTAAGGTTATTATTCTAAAACCCAGATATCAAAGACAGGTGTGAAGGGTATTACAATCCCTTGGCCCTGAAGAAATCTGTTCTAAAAACTATTCAACGAAATTGAACGAGAAAATGTTGGGTAGAGTAAGCTTAGTGTTGGCAGTAGGGAACCCGTCCTTTCATCTTTGCTTTTAACCTTGAAGTTTGGTGTCTTTTCAGTCAGAAAAAAGAGACAGGCACATACTTTCCCAACACACACAAACAGGTTTTTGTATTATTTCTGTTTTAAAATGTCTGGTTTGACTACACTAATTTCAGGAGCACACTGCTGCCTACCATTTTCTGGTGGAGTCCTTTTTCAAGGAGATTTACCTGGGGTTGAAATGTGACTGCAGTCCACAGTTGTTTGTGGCACTTCCTGAACCCTCCAGCAGGTGGGGATCTAGGAGAGGAACAGTTCTCATTCTTCCCCTTCCCCGTGCCTACCAGCAGAACAGAAGGAATGTGGACTCAGCAATGTGCCTTCTCTTCTTGGGCATAAGAACTAGATTTCCAAGGTTGTTCTTTCAAAATGAGTACTTTGGCATAGAGAGTAGCACAGGAACAGAGCCAAAAATAATTTTAGGTATATGTGTGACTACGCAGAATTCCAAAGCTCAAAAATTTTGTTTCTTTTCTTTATCATTTCCAGAAGTTCCACTGGTTTTATATCTGTTTGCCCTGATTTCTATGACATGGCTTTGGGGAGGCCTGCACATGGCTTACAGACACTTCTGGATGTTGGTCCTTTTTGTCATTTTCAACAGTCTGCAGGTAAGCCTTACGGTTTGGTTACTAATGGCACACATGTACCCTAAAGAAAACATGGCCTGGGGTTTCAGTATAAAGAAATCAAGTGTCCAAACAGTGAATTCATGCACACAGTAATGTCATGCACAATTGTAGAATAAAACAGTAGAGGGCTAAATATTTAACACCTAAAATATGGCTGAGCTGCTAACTTGTTGATTATACAAATAGGGGAGACTTAAAATATTTACCCTCCTTTAAGAACATCTAAGTAACTACAAAAAACATATTTCTTTTCCAGCAGGATTGATGGCTATAAACTTTACAGATAGCAGCCATGGAGAACCTACACACTATCTTTGGTTGTGTAGAAATTAGATCAGCTGAGGAACGGAATAGACATTGATGTTCAAGCAGTCCTCTCTTAAGCCTGGTGCTTAGTGAAATGAGAGTGTTTTGGTTCACTGAAACATGATTGACACCCTCTAAGTCTGGCAGTGCCCAGCTTAAATTCGTTTTGTGAGGGTAATTGGATAGCATAACTAGAAATTATATAACTGTAGCAAAAATTAAAGCTGACTTGTTTAGTGCTTTTGTTAAATGGAAAAAAGTCGCACCCTGAAATTAACAAATGGAACAGATGAACTCATTTTCCATACTTTCCAAAGTGAAAAGATCTGTCCTCGACCAAAATAATTTCTTGAATTTACCAGAGATACCACTAAACAGACCTTATTTTGACCACCATCTTGCAATAGGAGCATGTGTAGAAGAACTTATTAGTATTAGAGCATACAACTAATTATAGCATACCACTTAAAAGCATTTTTAGGTAGGCTTGTTAGGAGACAAATTATTTAATGAGATCATATCTTACAGCAGGATGCCTAATCAAACATTGTATTGATTTAGGAAGGAGAAAAACAAAAAGTAACCTAAAAGTCTGGAATCAAGGTGATTCAAGTTGATACCTAGACGGTTCTCAACAGCGATAATGGTAATTAAGCACCTACTACTAGCACAGTGTGGTAGCTGCTGCCGGAAGACTAGGCCCTGCTCCTCTATGATCTGATGACTAATTAACTGTGTGAGTCGACTATGTCAGGTGCCATGTAAACAAAGTGTTGTGAGAGCCGAGTGCTTGGTTTGAGTTATAAGAGCCCGTTTACCCTTGCCCATGCTAGCCTCTGAGGTGAGCCCCAGAAGTGAGCCGCTCAGGTCAGAGGCCCAGTTGCAGCCACCTTTGAATCCCTGGAGTCCAGTGGAACCAACGCCAAGGTCCGCACTAGCAGCCTGCTGATGCATTTTATTTGGTGGGCACACAGTGTTTTAGATTTTTTTAAATATTTGCTGCAAACCTTTTAAATTGAGAGGTTTCACATAAAAACTTGAATTTCTGACCTTTCTTTAACAGCTGTGCTTGCTTGGCAGCAGGTTTTGAGTCCTGAGTAGGTACCAACTGAAAGGAAAGGAGCGACACACAACAGCAATTCACCGGAGAGTTCCGCTTTATTAGGGAAAGGTGCTGGGTTATATAGGATGGGGCATAGGGTGATTGTGGTGTTACTTCTACGGGGCTGGTGGCTGTTGGCTAGGTGCTGGGATTGGGAGGGGGGCGAGAGGTGATTGGGCTTCAGGTGGCGCCGGCGGGAACCGAGGACCCCGAAAAGAAGCCGGAAGTTCGCCATCTTACTGGTGGGGACCCTTCACCAACCCCTTGGAGGGGACGTGTGACCTCATCACATCTGATAGGCTTCATTCATTCAGATTACCTGCTCATGAGTTTGTAACACCTTTAATGTTCATGAAATAAATGATGAGTGTGTGGTTAGAGATGGGTATTTCAGGCAGAGAAAACAGTGTTAGCCTGGGCTGCAAACAGAGAAAGTGATTAATTTTGTATAGGTTAAACAAAGGGTTACAGTGGGGGATGGAGGGGGTTGTAGTTAGAAAGGCAGTTGTGGGAGGGGAAGACAGTATGTTAGGTTGGCTTCAGTGCCATATTACCATACTCAAAATGGGATATTAAACTTCAGCTTTCAAGCAGTGAAAAGCCATTGAAGTTGGGGCTTTTGTTTCCTTTGTTCTGATTTTTAAATTTTTGTTAGTTTAAAAAAATTTTAATGTTAAATTGGTATGGCATGCTCATACCTAGTTTGTGGAAGAACAGCTGGAAACATTGTTCAGGAGGGTACTGAAAAGGGGAGAAGCTCCAGGCATGGTAGGCTATGGCCATTGTCCAGTTTATGATGTTCTGGCACACCTGGGAGTACAGAGTAGGTGACAGGTTTGAGAATTGTTGTAAAAATTATATTAATGAAATTTGGCTAGCCCATTAAATGTAGGCAGGTGGAGTGCCAGAGAGTGACGTCACTTAGAAATGCCTGGCTGGGTGAATGGCTGGGCACTGACACCTTTAGTCAGCATGGAGATTGCATCAGGAGCAGGGTCCTAGCCAATATGCAGTGAGGTTGAATTACTGGGTTAAGGAATTAAGAAAAATATTAAAACGATTCTTTCTAAATTTCTTGTGGACCATATAGAGACATTTGGTTATACGATGGATCCCAATATGATGAGATTTGGGAGACTTAATAAAGCTACCAATGTAATGAGGTATAGGAAGAGAGTGAGAGATTGTTAGAGAATAACAATCAAGATAGGGTGTTTTTAAATTGCTGCTAGGAGAGAAAGCTTCAAAATAAAAGAATATCTAACTTCAAAGTATAGCAGAGAGATAAATAAGATGAGAACTGAGGAGCAACGTGGTCTAGTTCAGTGGTTCCCTGGATGTAGTTTGCATCAAAATCATGTGAAGGACTTACTAAACACAGATTGTTATACTCCACAGCCAGAGTTTCTGATACAGTAGATTTGGGTAGAATCTGAGAAATTGCCTTTCTAATAGGCTCCCATGTGATGAAGCCCATGCAGCTGGCCTAGGGACAGTCTGAGAACCACTGGTATAGAAGAGCGTGACCCTACCCCCACCAGCCTAGGTCTGGTTGACTTCAGCTGAGTCATGGATACTCCCTCAGTTCTGCTTTCTTCAACAGTGAAATGGGAATAAATGCCATTTAGAATTATGGTTTGATTTAATTGAATGGCATAATGGAAGTAAAGCACAGTTCTTCTGTATTATTCAAGCAGTTTATTGGAGAATACAAATAGAAATAGCTTCAGAAGGAAAGTTGGTTGGTTGGTTCAAAGGTGACTATTTTTGTTTTCTTGTGAAAAGAACCAACACGGAAGAAGAAACTGATAAGTAGAAGAAAGACTCACTGCCCAGCAAGCTCATGGACAGAGCCCGAACAGAAGTGATAGAAAGCTTATGTGAGGGAGGAGAAGAGCTGTTTCTTTTTCTGAGGCTAGGGAAAGAAGGAAGGATAGGTGAACATGGAAAAACTTTTTTGGAGCAAAGATGTAGAAAGTTGGAATTTGCATCTAATGTCCTTGCTTTTCTCTAGAAAGTCAGAAAGCAAAGACATTTGTTGAGAGGAATGAGTTGAAAGCTCAAGTTAAATCTAAAAAGTGTGGAGCAGTTTTTAGGCAGAGAGTAAATAACAGACTGGTAGGTTGGAAGATGGCCAGAAAATTGCTTAGAGAGAGATTAGTGGGATGCAATGGAGTTTGGACACCTGAAATCTGAAATTGAACCAACCAGTGGGAATTAAATAAATATAAACCATAAGATTAAAATGGTAGCCAATGCAACCTGTCAAACCACTGCACAGGCAATAGTCCATCCAGAAGCCAGCCACATGGTGACAGATACTCTGGCCAGGACTGGCTCATAAGCAGACTCCAGTGGTGGGAGGGATTGAGCTAATCTCACAAAAACCACATGGAATGGAATTCCCCCCAGGGGGAAGGGTTCCTTCCCAGTGAAAGGGGGCAACAGTGCTAGGCAGGCCAAAGTAACAGTAGCCCACTATACATATTTCCTAAATTTTCTTGTTCACTGATACAAGCTTGGACAAGGCCAAGACAGCTATTTTTCAAGCCACTAGGAAACTGCATCCATGTGACATCACTTTATTATGAATAACCTTGGGATCCATCATATAACCAAATGTCTCTATATGGTCCACAAGAAATTTAGAAAGAAGTGTTTTAATATTTTTCTTAATTCCTTAACCCAGTAATCCAATAACCTCTATTTTTTTTGAAAAAATGCATTTGTCATATCTAAGAAGATTTATGCTAATACTTACAGGTTACAACTTTCTTAAACTCTTCAGTGCAGGGTATTTCTAAATTCATATAACAGTTAACAGGAGTAATCACCAAGGCTGATAACTCCGCTGGTAGGCACAGGAAGAACCCTAGCAGTTTTTAAAATTTTGAAAAAGCTACTGGTTAAACCCCCTGCATGTGTCCCAGGCTTCAGGCCACTTAAGCTAGAAGCATCTCCAGACTTCTAAGAACTTTAAAGCGACTTGGCAGCCTGGGAGCCACAAGGACCCTCCTCCAGTGCTCCTACAGCCATGCTGATGGGTCCATGCCTATGCTCTACTCATTGCACATTTTACATGTCACTGCTACCTTAATTACATTCTGAAATAGTTTACTATTTTTAACCTGAACTAGGCAGATTCAGGCTTATTATGTATATCATTTATTTCAGGTTTTCTTCTAGGACTTTCTCACATTTGCTATGTCAAAAGTTCACTCTTCTTACATGTGGGGAATCCCATGAAAGACGATAGCCAGCAGTACCAGGAATGAGCTCCTTAGAGATGCTGGAAAATACGTTTTTGGAGAAGATTCATATACATAGAAGAAGCTTTCCGAAAGCTGAAATGCACTTTTCTTAGAATGCATAAGCTGGCAAGGGAGTAGCACTCTCCACGTGTTGGGTATGACACTTCTCAGGATATGAGTTATGAGACCACATTCTTCTGAGTCCTCTTTGACTGTCTCTGTAACAGGCTTACACAGGCTTGTTTATGAAAGCATCTGGTCTCGAGATGTTTGTTCCCTGGCAGTTTTCGAATCATTTGCTATTTCAGAGAAGGGAGTTA